CTTGCCAGTCAGACAGACTTCCAAAGTCAATACGAATGATGGTATCTTTCAATCAGCGTAAAGAGCACGTCAATCCAGGTGGCTCTAAATGCTGCATCGTGAAGGTGGACCTTTGGGTTATGTTATGATGGATGAGGTTTTAGAGTGGCACGGCCCACTGAGCGATGACCAGGAGATAGTTATACTGGTGGATCTGGGCTTAGTGGATTTGGGCTTTGTTTCCTCACTTTCTGATGTCTTTGTGGGTAGCCCAATGATGAAGATTTTAACTGCCCTTAGCCCACCCTAGTGGGTCGCAGCCGTTTGCTAGCCAAACATGGGCTTTAATTTTAACAGGTGTGACCCAATCCTCACCTCTCTCTACGAAGGTTGTGTGTGTTGTTTCAGCTTTGGATTGTGTATCCTATGTTTGGTTTGTTGAGCTTTGGATTGATCTCCATGCCAGCGTCTTCGATCTCAAGTGGAGGCTTAGGAGATTTTCTGGGTTGGTTAGTCATGTTTGGAGACATGATGTTTGTAGCGTCTCTGTGTGCACCTATAATGGTTGTTTTGTGTTTTTGCTGTTGTTTGTATGTTCTAATCCCGGTGACCGCACCGGATGACCTTGTGTAGTGCTGTTTGTATGGCAGAAAAAAAAAAAAAAAAAATTTCTTTTCCTCCAATTTGTTTTCCATAATTTTTTTCATACACGTAATTAATATACAGCAAATAACATAAATAAACAAAAAATTAAATAAACAAATAATGATACTAATAAATTATTATATTGATCGGGTCAGCGTGTTCACCTGTAAAGCAGGTCGTAGACAACAGCGGAGCGAGCATGGCCTATATGACTGTGGTCGTAGGGCGTCACGCCGCAGACGTACATGCCCACCTTACTGGCCACGTTTGGCTTGAAAAGCTCCTTCTGTTTCGTCTTCGTGTTGTAAAACTTTAATTGAAACTCACTCTCCATATTTAGGGTGTAGACTATCCCTAATAGTAATTCGAAGACCTGAAACCTTGCGTTTTGACGGGGACCTTCACGATTTGACTAATATCCCTTTCTTTCTCGTGCTACCTGCCTCATCCACGACTACCTCTTCAGGAAATGGAGTTCGCTGACTGCAGCGAAACGAAAAACAGACGGGTTATAAATATGATATAGTTTCAATTGGGTTTATGATTTGTGTGTGATAAGAAGATGGAAACAAATTTTCTTCCTATTCTGAGTAGTATTCCTAGTAAGTTAATTTTGCCTTTTTTTTTTTTTTTTTTTTTATTCTTCCCAAACTGATCAAAACTCTTGGATATAAGTTCTCATTTCCATAAGGATTCTTCTTTCCTCGTGACAAAAAATAATAAATAAATAATAAAAATAAAAAAAAGGAGGCCAATATTAGCAACGAATTGATTTGATTTGATTTGATCTTGGGGTTTACGACAAGAGTCGGGTCCACAGGTCAGACCGCAATTGGCAGACACGTGCTTGCTAACTCCCCAGTGTCATAAGCTCGTGACGGATTCATCCAGGAGGTTTCATGCAGCCCTACATTTTGCCATTGGATCAACAACATCCAACGTGATTCTTGATCGAAAGTCAACTGTTTAGGTTACTTGAGCTGGTTTTTAGGAGTATTTATTTATAAAACTCTTGGATATAAATTCTCATTTCGGTAAGGATTCTTCTTTCCTCGCAGCAAGCGAGTGTCTTTTCACAATTATAATTACTTAAGTTTCTACTTTTATGAAATTCTACAAACATTATCCTTTATACAAAAATATCCTTTTAGATCATTTAGTATTTTTTCTTTTCTCCCTCCTCTTTTAATCAATTCATAATAGATGGATGGATTCTGAATATATATATAACAGGAAGGAGAAAAAATATAAAAAAGAGTTAAAATAAAATTCGAAAAGAATAAAATAAATAAAAAATAAAATAGAAGGAAGGAACATACCTACACATGCAAGTCTTACAAGATGGATTCTGAGATCAATTCTTTTAAAAAAATTAAAAAAAATAAAAAAAAAAATAGGTTATATATATATATATATATATATATATATATAAAACTATCTAGTCTATCTTAAGTGAATGAATTCTTTCTTCTTCTTTTTTTCTTATATATATATATATGTGTGTGTGTGTGTTTCTTTTTGTTTTTATTTTTTATTTTTACAACTATACTTTTATAAATGGAATTTTTTTTTTTTACAAAAAAAAAAGGAAAAAAAAAAAAATGATAAGGAAAAACTCATTCACCCAGGATAATTGTATAGTTTAATTTTGTATATTTTTTACAATTATCCTGGTTTAATTTTGTATATTTTTTTTCTTTTTCAGAATCTATTAACATAACACTAGTTATTTTTATATATATACAGACACACTTTCATATGAATTGATTATAGCACATCCAAATTATTTAAATGAATATTATCCTTGTAGGGTTATTTTTTTTTTCCAGCAAAGACCATTGAAGTTTCAATAGTGCAAAAGCAAAAACCGAACCTTTTAAAAAAATAATAATAATAAAATGTACTGTAACTTCTCACATTAAATATGGTAACAGTGAATTTCATATTCATAGTTTTGACCAACATAACTACCAGTCACCGACCAACGTCACATCTCTTCTAACTAGGATTAAATGAGCCAATGAATGCAATATTCAGTAACTCTTTTTTAAAAAATAAAATAAAATTCAACGGTGAATTTTTCTGTGTGAGATACTCACCCTTCGAAGAATCCTCCATCTCCCATTTGCAACATATGTATTTTGTAACAGTCTATAAATATCTCTTGCTCACTGAATAAAAAACTTTCTTCACATCTCATCATGTCCGTTGATTATGATCTAAATGTAAAAAAAAAAAAATAACAAATAAAAATCCAAAAACTGTAGTGATCATATCTAACGGTCTGGGTATACTTTTTCCGTGAGCGACAAATCATTTATGTATATTTAGCTCCCTGTAATATCAGATTTAAGAAAGAAAAAAAGTCAGAAAAATGTGTTTCTTTAGCATCACTTATAATTTAATACTCCTACAAGAATTCTGAAGAGCTTAAAAAACACGAGAATTAATAGGGGGGTTCCATCAACATTTTTTTCACAATGTTGGGTTGTTGCTTGCAGTTCTGGCCAGCGGGTTGGGGTGGAGTCAGGATTGTAAAGTAAAAGGGACTAAAAGTAATGGGAAAATTTGAAAATGAAGACAATAATTCTTATGATAAAAATATGTTATATATATCTAAAAATAAATCAAAAAAATGACAATGTTCTCATATATCAAATCAAGTTTTTTAGGAGATAAAATTAAAAATCACCTATATTTACTGATTTTTTATCTATATTTGTTAAAAAAATATATGAGAAATTAGACTCCCTCGCAAATCTCTACAATTTCCTTGCTAGACCCCCAAACAGGCCAAACCCTATGAGAGAAAATACCACCGCATGATGAGACGAAGTGGCTGAAAATTTATTACATATCACATATGGATTGAGCTGATAGAAAGAGAAAGAGTAACACTAAAAATTGATTATATATGAACTGAGCTGATAAGAATAGTAGTACTAATTTTTAAAAAAAATTGGACCTGGGATTAGCCCATTAAAAGCTCCGCCCATGCCAGCAGGCAACAAGATCACCAGGTCGTGAATCCACTGTCCACATTACGCAATCATCAAACTCCATGAGACTCGATCTTGAGCATCAATTTTCTCAGATACCGCATGATCTTCATTAATTCTTCCACATTTAAATGCATAATAATGAAGCCATTGCCGCCAAAATGTTGCATGGCCATGGATTTTCTGACCAAAACCCATTGCTTATAATCGTCCCTGAACAAATAAAACATCAGCAAATAAATTTAGAGAGCAGCATACATGGAAAGGGTTCTAAAGATTCCTCTCCAGACGGCCCTAGGAAGCTAATTTACTTATAACAATACCCAAACTTACCACGTTCATTATCTTACCCCCTGACTTCTCCAGCAACCAGTGGTGAACATCCAGCAAAAGGCCTGGTAACTTGTAAGGTAACCAGAATTACGCGTAAGTCAAAAGATTGTGTGTCCTAATCAGTGAAAAACTAACCTGCCAGAGCCTGTTTACAGCCAAACATATAATTAATGATATCTTTTAATTAAGAGTTTTGTCAATTCATGAACTCTTTCCTGAGATTTTGGATCATTTATAGAAGAGATTTTCATACATGTAATGATATCTTTTAATTTTTAGCTGAATGTTTACAGCCAAACATATCCATTGCAGATTCTTTTTTAGCAGAGGTTGGAAGGTTATTTGTGTTTTTATTTTATTTTATTTATTTCAGTACATAATTTCAACTATTTTTCATGACAAAAAGTGAAGAAGTTTTTCCTTCAATCCAAACAATGCTTAAATTAATGTCAAACTCCTTTTTCTCCCTAATCCAATATATCGAATTATCAATCTATAAGACATGCCAATTGTATTTTTTGCCAAACCTATAATTTTTAATAAAAATAATGTGAGTGGGATGTAAATTCCAATGTCATAGTCATATCATGCAATGAGTCCCACACCCCCACTTCACAAAAAAATCGAATCCTCCAATGGCATAAATTAATTTTTTTTGGTTCCCGAACATAAGTACACAACTATGTCCAACACGACACCTTCATAATAAATTTTGATTTATCTATGTGTTTTTTACACAACTATAGCAATAGGACACCTTTATAATAAATTTTAAACTATTATTATTTATCTAGTTTTTTCTTTTCTTTTTGTGCCCTTAAATATTACATATGATATAATGAGTCCTCAAATTTATACCAAGTTCTATTTATCCATATCCAATTTATTTACAAGGCCAAATTATTAACGTATCCAATTGACTCAACTGGTCAGAAAATCAACCTAATATACTCTCTAATTAATCAGTGAAAATATATATATATATATATATATATATATATATATTATTCCTTCCTTTCTTTCTTTCTTTTTCTAACTATTTGTTTTGCCTTGCCAATAAGGAAGGTGAAAGAAAGTAGGTTTTCACAAAGCAAAAAAAAAAAAAGCAGCATGTATTTGACCAATGTAAACAAAATATGTATAATAAGCATATGCTATAAATTTATAATATAGTAATCTTAACATGATTGACATAATATAATAATCTTAATATGGGTATTGACATTGCATAGCCCCAGCTTCACATTTCACTCAAACGCCTGTACATTCTCCCTACCAACCTCCTCTTCTTCCTCATGAGTAAAGTAATTTTTAATGTTAAAAGTGTTGCGAATCTCCTCTGGAGTCTTTCCTTTGATCATGTCCGCCACTTTTTGACATGTTAGGTCTAACAAACTCTTGTTGTCTAAATAAGTTGCAGCCAAGATGAGATCGAAGAGGGTGACCTGGTCGACTTCGACGAAGTTGGCATCGAAGCTTTTGATAACATCGTTGGAAGTATTGTCTTCGGATTTAAGGGTCTCGACATGCTTCTTGGAGTACTCGATGATCTTGGACAAGATGTTGCCGGTTACATTCGGTAGAGGAATGATGGAATCAGCACAATCATCTTCGATTATATGCTTGACAGTTTGTGACTCCAAAGCCACGGCCTCTTCCACCTCAAAGGTCTCACCATCTGAGCTTCTCAACACAATCGGCTTTGAAGTCGACATGATGAATTTTTAACCTTAATGAAAGAGAAAGTTGTGAGATATAGAGGGTGAAAGCTATTGAAACCACAGAAGTGAGAAAATTGCAGAGAAAATATGATATAGCACAACTTGTATTTATAATAAGGAACCCTACCACTTTAAGAAAACTAATTGCATCCGGAACTAAGTATTAAGGAAACAGATATAAAGAAATCCTAAACCCAATAGTATTAGAAACCTACCCTAATTGTTGTTGATGACCACGCCACGATAGCTGACTAAGTGGCTCCACCTCTGCAACTTAGGCACAACTGGCCAGTGATTACCTGGCGTGCCCACGGTGGATTAGGTATTCTCGAGCTACCTATCCAATAACGGAACTCACTGGCCGAGGGAGGGGTCACTACCCTTCCTCTACTAGCCCCCCAGCCCGCCCCCCCCCCCCCCCCCCTCCCGGGGGTCGCTCGAGGGTGCTCAACCCCGACTAACCTGTTTACATATTTCCCTTCTTGGCAAAGAAGACCTCGGGATAGAACTGGGATGGGAACCTGCGAGGTCATGAAGGCAGGACCTCGAAAGGGGTCTATCCCCACTGAAGCACGGGAATCTGAGGACAGGTGGATAGGTGGTTGAGATCTAAGGGGTCGCCTCAGTCCGAGGCCAACACAAGGGGGAAAGGATACTCGGTACCTAAGCTCGAGCGATGAAGGATAAGAAACGCATTAATTGCGAAAGACATTTGATAAGACCCGCATTAATTAGGGACAAAGCGTCGCGGCCCATCCATCAGTGTCTCATCCGTCAAACGAAGAGGCCATCGAACCTTTGGATAAGAACGAGCTCAACCAAAGGACTAAAAGGCATTGACCGAGGAAGTAAACACTATAAATAGGAGTGTTAATCAGCCTTTAAGAGGAACAACCACCACATTAACACTTATCCTCTGACAAGCTCGAGTTTGCATGGTACCGAGGTCGGCCTTCCCTTTCTTAATCTCCACACTTAGAGAATCTCTTGTGTTGCTTAGATTTCCACTTGGATACTGATCTCAGATCTCTTAACTTGCGTGGAACGATCTCCTCGTCCTGCTCACGAACTACCATCAACAATTGCATAATTTCCATAAACAAACTAAGGATACCTAATCGTCCATAAATCGTTTTTGAGTAGGATCACAATAGAATCGGTCCCACAAACTAGACTTATTTTGCTGTTTTTATTTTTCTATTTTTAAGCCATTCGGGCCAACTGTCAATTTATTACTAATAAGGAAGCCCGACTATTTTGGGCCATGCTATTCTATTTTTATTTTATTTTTTAAATAATAATAAAAAAATAGAGTATTTTCCTGTTGTTTTTGGTGGGATACATGATTGACACTTCTCCAAGTTCTAGATCAATATCAATTCCTGTATGTTGATTGTTGACAGTTCATAGAAAATCTGGAAAATAAATAAATTAAAATTCAAGAAATTAAAATTTTTCGACGGACGATTTTGTGCACAATCATCCATTCACAAATAAATGAAGTTTATCAAACACCAAAAGATTTACACACACACAAACCCGGACAAACACCCACACACGCACCCGGATAATGGAAGGCATTAAATTTGGTACTAGGGAGATTTTCAGTAGGATGTAATAATTGCAAAGTAGTTTATCAAACATGCTTTATATTTTCAAAGATAAAAGATTGGACAGTACTCTCCAGGAGCAATAATATCCAATGCAGCCATAATGCCACCGTCTTCGCCTCGTGTATTTCCTTTTCTCTCATATCAATTCTTTACAATATCTCTGCAGTGTTCCATGAAATGAATGTTCATTTTTCCATAAAGAATACAAAAATTACATTGAACTGCATCTCTGTCTCCAAGTGCAGTCAAGCGGCCGCCATTGCAGCTGGATTGCAGTTTCACATAGTTCTCGGAAGAAATGAAGTAGTTCTTCAGTCATTGTTTCTGTTGTCATGAAAAAGTGAATCTCTAGAGAAGTGAGAGGCCAGAGCCCGATGATGCATTTGCCGGGCTTGGTGGAACATCAGAAGCAGCACGATAAGCTTGTTGACATTTCTGCACCTGGACTTGCATGTGGAATGCCAGGGGTTTAGCATGTAGTTCTTGACAAATAGTATATGTTATAAATTGTGGTAATTTGGATATCCAATTAAAACATTTACACAGTATCTACTAAAGTTCTACAATAGTCTTTTCATCCTATTTTCGTGCCTGAATGACAGAGAGGGAAATGAATGATGCTGGAAAGAAACCTTTGATATCGTTGGAACTTTCAGAAAATCAGTGAAGTGATTTGCTGTCTATTCTTATGTTATAAAATCAAGTCATAATATATAAGACGCTAATGACCCCATGAGCAATCCAAACTCAGAATGGACACTCCAATGAATGGGCCATCATTTTAGTCCTTGCCTGTCTTATCAAGATGTATCTCAAGCTAATAATGTCTGATCAGAATGCTTTCCAAAGTACTAATGACCCTAGCAATGATATTGAGACACGTTGATCCGAATTTTCAGATTCCTAACACTATTGAAGCATCAAAACGAAAATAAAAATTTTACCTCTTCAGGACTGAATTGAAGAAGCATTCCAACCACAGTTAGCAAGGCCTCCACTTCACCTGTTTACAGAAAGTTTGATATACAATGGTTTTTAAAATAGCCAGAGAGATTTTACTATTTTGAAAATTGCAGTTCTCTAGGAAAAAAGGACAACAGAGAGCAACAAAAGTTTTAACTCCTGTATTCACAAGCTACATTATACAAGGTACCTGTTTCAAAGAGTTTCAAAATAACATTTTTAAGATAGGTCGCGTCCACCCCTTCCCTCTTTTGCGCTCTTTCCGTGTTCCAGAGCTCGTCCTTTAACATGGCTTCCTGCACTCGTGGTATTCAAACACTGAGTCAACAAACAAGAGGAAAGGAGGAAAGGGAAAGAAAAAACAGAAAGAACAAATCTTGAAACAGTTAAACCATCTTCTCACTGAAAAGGCCAATATGTAATCCATAAACACACAGATTCTTCATCACTCTCAGAAGGCATATTCTTCATCTACATCTTGCAGTCCAATGCTCGTGCCAGGTACATGGTTTTCAATCTCCATCTGAAGATGTAAATCCTGAAGCATCCTGTAAACTTCCTCCATCTCTGTTTGTAGTGCATTCCCTGCTGTGAACATATATACTTTCTTTTTCACCTCAATCCAACTTTGGCCAGGGATTTTCCTTAAACCCTTTGTCTTTGCTGAGATTCTCACCCTTGCAGAATCCTCCCATCTCCCAGTTGCAGCATATATATCTGAGAGCAGCATGTAGCTCCCAAAAGTTTCAGAGCCGAGGCTGAAAATATGAGAAGCAGTTTCTTCCGCGACATCGGTATTCTTGTACATCCTACAAGAGTTCAGAAGTGCTCCCCAAACACAAGCATTAGGTTCCATTGGCATGTTTTTCACTGTGTCACTTGCTTCTTGCAGCAACCCAGCACGGCCAAGAAGATCAACCATGCAAGCATAGTGTTCCATCCGGGGTTCAATCTTAAACTCTCTTACCATCAGATCAAAAAGCTTACGTCCCTGAACAACAAGCCCAGCATGACTACATGCAGAAAGAACAGCAACAAAAGTAACTTCATCTGGTGTATATCCATCTTTAATCATCTTCTCAAAAGTATTTAGAGCATTCTCACCAAGTCCATGCATCCCGTACCCTGCAATCATTGAGTTCCACGAGATTGAGTCTCTACCATCAATTTTCGTAAATACCAAATCCCCTTCCTTAAGACTTCCACATTTTGTATACATGTTAATCAACCCATTTCCCACCAAAATGTTACTATCCATTATAGCTCGAATTACATGACCATGGATTTCCCTACCAAGGCGCAGTGCTGATAACTCTCCACAAACTGACAAAACACAGGAAATTGTAACAGAATTGGCCATCACCTCAGTGAGCTGCATTCTCCGAAAGAGTTCTAGGGACTCCTCCCCACGCCCCTTTGAGGCAAATCCACTTATAACAGCACTCCAACTTATCACATTAGGTCTCACCATTGGATACCCGTCTGACTTCTCCAGCTGTGAAAATATAGCATAAGCCTCATCACATAAACCAAATTCTGCATACGATGATATCAAGGCATTCAGACTCACTATATTCTTTGAGCTCATTTCTGAAAACAAATTTTTAGCATCTTCTATGGCTCCATTTTTCCCATACATACATATAAGAGAGTTTTTGACAAATGAGTAATTCCCAAAACCACCCTTTATGACATATCCATGGAATACCTCACCCTCGTCACACACACCCAATTCAGCACAAACAGATATAACCACAGCAAGTGCTTCAGCTGTAGATCCAACTCCTCTTTTTCTCATGACACCATACAATCGCAAAGCTTTTTCATTTTTCCTACACCTGGCATGACTCGATAGCAATGCAGTCCATGTCACAGAGTTCGGTTCCAGCCCTTCAGCTTCCATTTGTTGGAACATCTCAAGAGCACCATCACAATCATAATTCAGCGAAAAGCCCGAAACAATCGTATTCCAAGAAATAAGGCTTCTAACAGTCATTCTATCAAACAGTCGACGCGCATCATCCATTCGCCCAAGCTTCCCATACATACCCACCAATTCATTCGCTACATGAACATGATGTTCAAATCCCATCTGCAAAACATGAGTATGAACATTCCTGCATATGTCAGAATCGCCCATCATTGCGCAAGCCTTTACAACCAAAGGGAAAGTAAACCCATCAGCCCCAAACCCATGTTTTCGCAACCGAAGATAAACTCTGAGACACTCATCATACTCTCCATGTGTGACATTAGCTCTCAAGATTGAATTCCATAAAAGCAAATTCGAATTGCATTCAATTGGGGTGGTTTCAAAAACTTTCCGGGCATCGTCAAGAAGCCCGAACCGGGCATAGACCGACACGAGCCTAGCGGCCAAGAACGCAGACCGATATGCTTCAGTGAGAACAATTTGGGTGTGTGTCTGTTTGGATTGTTGAATGGTAGTGCATTGCCGAAGAAGGTGATCAAAAAAATCGGAGATTTCATTGTGGGTGCTACAGAAGTGACCTGCCTTGATCTGGGTTCGATTATGGGGAGTTGTAATAGAGACCCAATTGCTGAAATTTGATGGGTAGGATAGTTTTTTTGGGTAGATAGAGATATTGTGGGTTCGAAATGAAAAGCCTTGAAGAACAACCATGAAGCATGAAGCTTATATACAGTAAGATTTTTCAATTTGGCTCTGTTGTCTCTGTTACTACAGAAGTGTTTTTCAAACTTCCAATTTTTTTTTTTCCTTTTTCTCTTTTTCCAAAGTGTCAAGAGTAAATTGTATATATGGTGCGCAAGTGTGCAACTTGGCTAACCTGAACGCCAGCTCCGTGTTCAGTCCAAATTTTCAGTGTTACAAATAATTAGAATCGAGCTGCAACTCAAAATTGAATTCTAATTCTTCTTTTTATATATTTAAAAATTGACATTAAGTTTTTAATCTAACCAAAACTAATCTCGAGTCAAAGGTCTTATATAAATTGCTCATAACTAATCTCTAATCTAATTTAATTTTATCATGATTGAACTAAATAATTTAATTTGACTAAATTAGATACCAATCTATGAATTGCTCACAACTCTTTCAGAAGATAGCCCAGGAAGACACCCGGTCATTTTGGATAGAGTAGTAGAGGCTCTTGAGGGATGATTCAACAAACAATTGAGGCCCAATTTCAAAAGTGGTCCAAACCGTTATTCCTTGGAGCCTAAGGGTTGATTCATATAGCAGAGATGGTATTGAGTGTTACCCGCGTAGGTACTTTCGAATAGTACATATTGTGTACGCACAGTTGCATGTTATGCAGATAAGCTGGTGCACTCGGCACAGCCCTATCTATTTCATATAATAGGAGTATGCTGGTGTTTTTGGCGATTAACTCAGAAAATGGGCGCCCGGTTATTAATACTGTTTAGTTTTTTTCAACACATTAAGAGGCTGTTTGTTACCTGCTTTGTTTTAGGGTGTGTTTGGATAGTATTAGTAATGAGAGAAAAGAAAAGAAAAGAAATGATAGTATTAGTGAGAAAAGAAAAGAAAAGAAAAGAAATGAAATGATAGTAATAATTTCTATTTGTGTTTGGATAGATAGGAGAGAAAAGAAAAGAAGTGATAGTTATTTTTGTTTGGATAAGATAGAGGAGAGAAAAGAAAAGAAAGGATAATAGACAAATTACTTTTTTACCCTTTCATAACCATGGGACTTGAATGGAATAATAAATCTGTCTATTGATTTGTGGAGGCTAATTTTGGTATTATCAAAATACCACTAAAATCACTATCCTTTCTCTCACTATCTCTCCCTATCTTCTCAATTTTGAGGAGAAATCAAATAAGAGATAGGGAGGGATAGCTATCCCTCCCTATCTCTCCTTATCCCTCCCTATCCCTCTACTTAAGTTACCCAAACACAAAGTTACACTATCCTCTCTTTTCTTTTCTCTCCCTATCCCTCCAAATCAACCCTACCAAACACACCTTAGTGTTTTTGTTGCAGGTTGGGTACCGTAGCTGAAAAAGTGGACTGCAACATGTTTGGTAGTGGGCTGATTGTTTTGCATAGTATCAAAACATTTTATGAATTAGGCCCAAAAATTGAAACAAGAAATTGGTGTTTTTATATGTTTCAATACTGTAGCGGGCCAAACACATCTGTAGCAATCGAAACAAAATTAAACTACTTGCAACATTTTGGCCCACATATAAAAGAAAAAGTTAAAATATTAAACTCATCGATCACCTGGAAATCACTTCTCGCCTTCTTCTCTGCTTCTTTGCTCAAGGTCTGTCCACTGGAACCGTCGACGCCGACACCCTCATCGTCGACTGCAAGCTCTCCAAACTCTGAACCAAGCGTGTGTTAGCCTTAGCCCTTACCATTTTCCAGCGTGTGTTTTTTTTATTTTTTATCTTTGCTGAGTTTGTTTGCATTAATTTTATATATATATATATGGTATCATGTTATTGTAATATAGGGGAATTTACTTTTTCTCTGGTTTTAGCTGAGGGAGAATGTTTGCAAAGAAAAGAAATTAGTACAATTTTGATATATAGTATGTGAATCTCAAACCGACACTTGACATTGACATAGTGTATGTAACACATTGCCAAAGACATGCACTCTAATGATTGAAACATATATACATATGCAAGGTTTTTGTTTGTGTGTATGAGAGAGAGAGTAAGTTTACATAAGACCCACTGTGCCAAAATGAGACTCAAACCCTTAACCTCCACGTGAGAAGGATGAGGAGATACAACTTGAGCTTAAGACTCAATGGTGTGTTTATATTTACATTTTTAATGTTAATGAACTCAGTAACTTGGTTGGATAAAATTTGATGTGAGAGCGAAGTGAGAAGAAAGAGAAGACAGAGTATGATATAGAATGCTTACATTGTTAAATCTGCCAGTGTATACCCATTATTGGGAAATTGGAAAGAGTTGCAGATGGGTTTGGTAATTAATAGATTAAATAACAATGGTATTTAATATATTAAACAACAAAGAAAACCTACAAATATAATACAAATTACATAAAAACATCTAATGTGAAGAGCTTCCTAAAAGCTTATTTCAAGGTGTAATTGAATTTCTTAAGTGAAGCATGCTTAAAGATAATTCTGATAGTGTCATTGTTGTTCAGTTGCCTTTCATATCAAAAATTATTATACTGAAAATTTGTTGTATGGAAGTCAAAATAGTGCCATCTTTGCTACAAAATAGACTTAATGCTTTTTCTACCAGAAACTCCATGGTTCTGTTCTTATTTAGGAATTTCAGGTCTTGAGAGTGATTTAAAGTTTGAGAATTCTCTTGATCTTAGTTTGAAGACATTAGACAAAATGAGAAATATAGAAGCACTAATACTTAATTTTCTTGCTAATTTGGAAATTATTTATATGAATTGTGTAGTGCAATCGAGGTAGATTTAGTGGGATAATTCACCACTTTTGGGTGCTATCGAATGGCTCTATTAGCAGGTTTGAAGAGTAATGGAGGTAGATTAAGAAACTTGTTCCTTTTGAAATTTTATTATTATTAAGAACAGATAAAAGATCTAACAAAAGAGGTGTAAGATTAGGAATCATGGCATGGACCACATGGCCAAGGTAAAAAAGGGACAACACTGCGTTCTAATGGAGACAAATTGAGGGCCTGTTTGAATGCCACGTAAAATGTGATTATGGCCATCCAAATTCAAGGGACAGTCAATCAGATTACCTGTTGGTTCTAAGGTTGCCTTATGGGGATTTTCTTGTTTGATCTTTTAATACTTGGGGAATATCTTGTCATTAATTTCATCATTCCACCTCTAACATTGTGATTTTATTCATTAATTATTTATACTTGTTCAAATTATATGTGAATCACAAATATTTAATGGTAATTTTCAAATGCTTCATAACCAGTGAAAATGGAAGAGAATATTTACAAAATGGTGGCATTTATCATACTTGGTATAATTCATTGTTGTCATAACTTTATGTGGACAATTGGGTAATATTGTTGTGCTCCTTTTTTGCATATGGTTGCTGCTGTGTAATGGGACTGCTATGATCAAATTCATTTTGAAGTCATCTTCTCAAAATACTGAGAAAGCTTCCGTACTGCAAGTTTCTAAAAATAGATGATGCATTTTGGTTGAAGAAAAGTCTTTGCTATTGTTGTGTATCAAGGATGTTATCTCAAGTTTTTCATCCTTGTATTTCCATAGCTAAAGACCTCATAAATGGCATTCTGGATTCTGCTCAGCTGTATCATCCTTGTAATCTTCATTCTGTATTTCTAGCGTCATACTTGTAATCAATGAGGCAAGCTCACTTGTATCATCGTTGTAATCTTCAAAAATGGCATTCTGCATTATGTATTTTCACTACTCAGTTGTATCATCCTTGTAATATTCATTTGTATAACTCAATAGAATTATGCATTTTGCTCTCTCCACAATGTCTGTAAGTGATTATTTACCTTGAGAGCTTTGTTGTTATTATATATATTAGAACAGGTGGTTATTATTTACCTTCATAGCATTGATGTTATTACCTTGGTATAATTGTAAAACAGGTGGTTGCAAATTAGTGTTTCAAATAGTGTCTTTGCATATTTCAACTTGTATTAATTCTTGTATTTCATCACTTTAAGAAGGCTAAAACAACAGTAAATGACTTGCAAGTTTAATAAATTTGTTGGTTGAATATTTAAGCATTTGTAAATGGTATACCCTTTATTTCACTTATGCTTGCAGGTGGGTTTTGTTTTTATTTTTAATGTTGTGTTCGACTATGCAGGTAATAGGATAACAAAATTGAAGCAAGTTATTGCAAACAACTTATAAATAGTTAATTGCAAAAAGTTTTATATATATATATATATATATATATATATATATATATATATGTTAGTGTTTAAATTACTCCACATCTATTAAAAATATGATGATTATTTATATAAAAATAAATTTATAAATATACTTAAATTTATAAAAACAAATTAAAAACAATAATAACTAAATATGTTTTTTTTGTTTCTTTTTTTTTTTTTTTTTGGTAACAATTGGAGTAACCAAACATGTTTTGTTTTCAAAATTCTCGAAACGCATGACCAACCAAACATGTTTTGCATGTTTCTATTTTCGACATTTTCACCGCAAAATATCATTCACAAACGTGCTTCCAATTTTTTTCGAAAACATCCTAAAGCAAAAACACTGTTTCTATTTTAGCCAAAAACAAAACGCCTAAAACAAAACGCATGCCAAACAGGCTCTAAAGGATAAAATTTAATCTCTTTTAGTTGTATTTGTATTATGTAATCTCAAGTTTTTAGCAAAACATTCCCATCTAAATAATTTGATTAACTTTGTTCGGAAAATATAATTTGATTTACTTTCATCTAAATAATTTGATTAACCTGCTTGACCTACCTAACAAAAACTCATAAAACTATATTTATTGATATGTTTTCGCTTAAATTTTATTGAAAATACCAAATAAATTGAATCTTTTGAGTCATATGTCAACCAATTATAAGGATTCACCATTTGTATAATCAAAAATAAGATTTTGCATTAATATTTTTCCTTGTTATTCTTAGAAACCAACCAAGCTATAAAGCAATATACTGTAATATTATTAGATCTAAAATTCCTATCAATTCCACACCCAGGAAAAATAAAATAAAATAAAAATAAAAATAAAATTCTTAATTCAACCACTACACACTCACAATTACTATCAATATTGTACGTAATAACTTTCTTAACCCTGGAATAATCATCCAAAAATCTTGAATTCACAACCATATTAATCAAAAAAAAAATACATTTATGACCAAAAAACCAAAAACGTACAAAAATCCAAAAGAAGAAGGAAAAAAAAAAAAAAAAACATTCATGAATACACACATTTTAAAAAATTGATCATATGGTCCATTTCCAGATCTTGATCCTGAAGTCAACCTCACACTTATCATCCGATGTGGTGGCTGTCGTGGCCGACTTTCCTGTAGGCACAGCAGCTCTAATGTCATCACATGAAACCCTAAGTCCAACCCTCATAGTCTTCAAACTTCCCACCTTCACTCTCACCTTGGTATCTAACTGAACCTTCAACTCTAAACTCTTCTTCATATCAGACTTCAATATACCAACCGACTTACTGTCCATACTTTGACCTGATCTTATCATAGGTGTTCTCAAAGTAGTAGTGTTCTTTTTGCCATGCACAAAGCCTGAAAACGACCCATTTCCAACGTCCACTCCGTCAACGGTGACAGAAACCGTGATGGGCTCGTATAGAAATACGAGTTCTTTATTAGGGTTTCGAGCAGTGACAGTGAGGTTGAACCTGGAGCTGAGTTGGGAAGATGTGGTGAGGTTGAACTGGGATATCTGTAAGGAGGAGAGAGAGAAGGCGGGGCGTTGGGGGCGGTAGATGAGCCAGAGGACCGTGCTGGCGATGGCGGTGATGAGGATGAGGAAGAGGATGATGGAAAGGATGGTCCAGCAGCAGCAGCAGCTTCGGCTGCGGCGGCGGCGAGGGGGTTGGGGACGGTAGGGTTGGCGAGTGGGGTTGTATAATCTGGCCTTGTTGGCTGCGGAGGACGGGGTGCCAGAGGGGGTGGCGGTGGGTGTGGTGCCGTTGGCTGCCGCCGGTTTGGAAGAAGGGTGCACCCTATCAGTCATGGTTCTTGGCTTAATATCTTGGTAAATGGGTAGTGCTTAGTGGTGTTTTTCTTCTATGTATGGAAATTGGAGAGAGAGAGGATGGTAGATGTTTAGGATTTTGGTTGTTTTGTTATTTATGGAAGTTGGGTTAGAGAGAGAGAGGATGGAAGGTGAAATGGCAAGGAGAAAGTGGACATACCACTTATTTTCAACCTCCAGAGATGTTTCCACCTTACCTATTACTTAGGACTCTCTCTCTCTCTCTCCAACCGGTTGGTTAGCCGAAGTGATGGGCCCATGTTAACTACCAAATGAAGAATCTATGGCTATGATTGGTGGACTGATTTTTAATGGGCTCCATCAAAGGGATCATAATTAATCAAAGTGATCAAGAGTTAACAGTTAGCGTTGTGATGATCGTCATTTATCAAGGGCTTGATCAGTGAGGATGGATGGAGAGAGACACAACAACAATCACTAATGAATTTTTTGGTCATAAACAATAACTACTGCCTTCTTCGTTTTCTTAATCATATAAAGACAGAATGAAAGCAAGTGACGAGATTAATTAATAAAATAAATAAGAAGAGTGAAAGTCAGACAACCAGCAAATTGATTTCATGTTTTGCTTTAATCTCTGTTGATTTTTTATTATTATCAACCTGACACGGTTTGATGCGATCGAATTAAGGTGGGTGAATAGAAAGTGAAAGTGAAAGTGATGGTTCAACGTACGAACTTCTGCTATATAAAATGAGCCTGAGTTTTAGGGAAATGCAATTATGCATATATAAATGTATAAACACAAACACACACACATATAAATATATATATTCCATCGATCCTTTGTGTGACTGTCATACTAATCTTGCTCAGACAGAATAAAGTTACAGAAAAGCTGTGTTGGATAAGATGGTAAAAACCATTAGCTATTTATCTCAGAAAGTGAATTGAATTAATGATATGTTTGGTTGGAATTGGTGACTCGAAATTAGAATTGAAGAAAATTTAGTTAAAATTTGGATAGAATTGATGCTTTGAAATTGAAATGGAAAAAAAATTAGTTCATTCAAGAATCATGCAGCCGAAAATAGCAGAATACTTTTATGCTACTGTTGAAGCAAATAAAGCTCAAAACGGTCTAAGTAAGAACAGAAAACATAAATCACACATGCACCATATAATAACACAAAATTTTATTTTGGTTTGATTTATAACTTATGTCCGTAAAGAGATTTTTTTTTTTTTTTTTTTTTTTTTTTTTTTTTTTTTTGGGTATGGTAAGCCAGTTTTATATATATACACACACACACTCTTATGACAACAACAAATGGATCTTTCTTTTGCATGCAGGTTGCAGTTGATCAGAGCTGTGTTGTTCTCCACACAAATGTACAGGAGATCAAAAGTTATCCTACCAAAGAGCATTATCACTGGAATGGACAGCATCTTCAAAGCTTTCTTCTAGTTTGGTCTATCTCTTAAGAAGACTGGAGCTTAAGTTAATTGGGAAACTTGCTGTCTTCCAAAAAGAGCTGGTGGTCTTGGCCTCCCCAACCTATCATCATAGAATGAAGTTCTATCATGAAACACTTTTGGCATATCATCAACACTAAGGAAATGTTTTGGGTCCAGTGGATCAATATATACTTACCTCCTAAAAGGAAAAGAATTTGGGAGGTTAAAATGTTGGGTTTAAGTAATAAATAACACCTAGAAATCAAAATTAATTTGAGAAGTTTTTGATACAATACCTGATTACAAGATTAAACTTTAGATACTTTTGAGAATTCCTTAGTGCCCATTGAGAGATCTGAAAAATTAGAGCGTTTTACCCCCTTCTGAAAGTTGTCGATACGATAAGATTGAATAAGGGTTTTAAAACCCTTGTATATAACAACAACAGGGGGGGGGACGGCTTCTCTACAAACAAGCATATCTAAGTCTCCCTTCCTATCATGGAAACTTAGATATTAGTTGTTAGAATTAAATCACACCAAATAAGTTGGAAAACCATAATCCAACGGTATAAAACTATACTCCCAATTAGACCACCAAATTGGAAAGTACAACCTAATCCATCAAGTATCAATAATCACATTGCAATCCTATTTTAGAAAACGTAGTGCACAGGACCATAAAATAATTTTTATTATTTAAATATATATATATAAATTCCAACAATCTCCCACTTGGTCCATGCACTCTAAGTTTTATAAAATGACATTATAGATTGCAACACACTTTATAAAAATCGAGTGGCCACTCATTTTTATTTAGAAAATGCAATTATCGAAATTGATGGATTGAAACTTTAGAACACTCTCCTCTATAAATTTCCTCAATAGTGGATCATGAATGTTTAAACAAGTAATATATTAGTCTAAACAGTTCCATGGTCTCAAAACTGATTCCATCTAGGATTCAAGCAAATATAGTGGTTTTTACTGTATTTCATGATATGTGCAAAATGCATATAGTCTAAACGCACGCCTCACTATCCGTCCCGCTTCATACCATCGCGGTATGTCACCTGAATATATTACAACAAACCGTCAACATTCTGTTCAGTGTGAGGATTTACCGATATGGAGCCAATCCCATATCTAGCCCAAGTTATCCTTATGGAGTGTGAAATACTCCCACAGCCAAACTTTAATATTAATGTTTGGATTTACCAATATGGTGTCAATCTCACATCTAGTCCAAACAACCTCATGAGTGAAATACCACTCCCAGACGAATCTTATATTTGGATTTACCAATATGGTGTCAATCTCATATCTAGCCCAAACAACTGTATAAGTGAAATATCACTCTTAGATAACCTTTAATAATTATTTTAGACTTACCGATGTGCTGTCAATCTCACATCTAACCCAAACAACCTCATGAGTGAAATACCACTCCCAGGCAAACATAATAGCACGTGCATAAACCATATATATTAAGATATTAATAATGATGCATCATAACTTTATTTTGGATGTAAATAACTGTCACCATAAGGTGTAAACTGGAGGAAATCATAACATAATAACTCTCGAACACCTATCCGAACCACGTGCTCTTTAAATACTTTATTATCTTCGGCCGAAGACTTTAGTAAGAGGATTAAACCTTAACTATATAGGAAAATCTTAATAACACTTAAACCTTAACCTTCTCACACTTGAAAATGTACTTTATGTTAATGGGTTTACTACACTTGGTCGCCCTTTAAATTATTTCCATACACTTAATTAATATAAGCCTTTAGAGAAAGTCTAAGTATTCGAGTAGCGCGATCTCTATGGATCCAAATGCCAAGGACATACTTTGCATACCCATATCCTTCATGTCAAAACTTTTCATAAAATTCTTAATATCATGTATCACATGAATGTCAATGCTACCTTGACATAAAACTCTAGAAGATCTCCTAAGCTAAACTGGCTTAGGAACTAGATTGGAAACTGAAAGAAAGGTCTGCAAAGGAGAAATAACTGAAAGAGTGGGAATATGAACTTTAACTGAAACCATTAAAGAAAGTGGAATGAAGCCTGGAATAAATAGAATAGATGCTGAAAATACTTTTCTGCAAAAAAAAAAAAAAAAAAAAAAAAAAAAAAAAAAAAAAAAAAACAAACTACAATATCTTAAACTCCCACTAGATTCACCACTCTCATTAAATATGCATGACATATTCCAATAATCTCCATAAGTCTACAGGAAAGTAAAATCTTGAATCCTTTAATCTTTCAAGATACCCAATAAAATAATCATTGACAGTGCTAGTATCAAGCTCCTTGATATCTGCATTATATAACTCTATCTCTATAAGACATCTCCTCACTTTATCTTTTCTGTAACTTTATTTTGCGCAAGAGAACGAGGAATGGTGTACTGTGGCACAATGCCCTACTTTTAAAGTATGTACTGAAAGTACTATGATTTACACCCTCATTACCATTCTCCCAATAAAACTTACCACCTTAGTCGGATCTTAAAACCATAATCACTATACCCAATTACTTTCAACTTTAGTCTGGTATATTTTACACACATCAAGTGCTTCGAACTTCTGATGAATTAAGTACACAATCATACCTTGAGAACCCATCAATGAAGATAATGAAATATCTTTAACGCAAATGAGCTACAATAAGAAATGGACCACAAAATTCGGTATAAATATAGTCTAAAAGACCAAATGACCGACTAGCTTCAAAATTGCGTTTCTCTGCATCTATCATTTGATACAACCAACACATAAAATTTGTGGTCCAATAATCTCATCCTTGACCAAGCGTTCAAGTCTCTTTTGAGACATTCCCCAATATTTTATGCATAACATAGATGAATCCTCTTTAACCAAAACACGATTTTATTCGAACTGTATCGAGTCAATAGAAAAACAAGAAACAAGTAGGATCATACCTGAATCTATCCACCATGTCTATACCTATACTTTTATCAAGTTAGGCTCAAATATTAACCTGACAATTTTCTTTCGAACTTTGTTTTCCTTTTTCACCACAATAGCCTTTTTCTTTTGATGTCCTTTTATTTCTATAGAACCAACATTTATAATTCCATGATCAATGTCTTTTCACGTATTGTTATGCCTTTCTTTATTCTTTTTAGCCTTATACACTTTCTTGTCGCCTAGTTTCTTCTTGAAACTATTCTTGATCACTACAAGAAAAAAGGTCTTTTACGAGTGCCCAAACACCTCGTGAAAACGCAAATGCCTTCCTCGTCTATTATGCCCTTGTAAATGCTCTTAGCTTTTTACGAGGACTAGCAGAGCTCGTAAAATAGTAAAGTACGAGATATCAGGCTTCTCGTTAATAACTAATTCACGAAGAATAACTGACCTCGTCAATAATTAATTTACGATGTAAGAAGCCTCTCATTAATAATTAATTTACGGTATAATTAACCTCTTGTTAATAATGAATTTACGGTGTAATTAGCCTCTCGTTAATAATTAATTTACAATGTAACTAGCCTCTCGTTAATAGATGCTGCAAACCGTAAAAAACTTTTCTACGAGAAGATTCTCTCTTTGTAAATAATGTAAAGACTTTTATTCAAGGATCATGAAGACCCCGTAAATAACATATTTATTTATATTTAATAAAAGCGCATTCAATTAATGCTATCCAATC